GATGAAAGGTGGAGTTCGGCCATTTTTAAGAATTTAAAAAGTATACTTTCTATGCATTGAAAGGTAATCTATATCATCATACTATTCTTTCCGTTTCAACATTTATTTTTCAATAGATTCCTCTAAAACATGATACAATATTAACGAACCGAATTTTGTTTCGAATTTCACGAATCTTAATTACAGAAATATTAATGTTGAATTTTAAATATCTTCGATCGAAGTGGCTCGTAGTAGAAGAACCAAGAAATACAATTTTCTTTATCTCTCGGCCAAACCTATGTACCCTCAGTCTCGTTCTCCAAGCTCCCTAACTAGTTTTCTAAGCCTCTTCCCTCGTTAACGATACTCATTCATTAAGGAAGCTCACAATGAACCGGTGCCCGTACTCTCGCGGTGTTCCGTCTTTTTTTACGTAAACGAACACAACAAGACCAGCGCGGCTTGTTTCATTCACGGGCAGTCCCGGTTAAACCGTTAAGGACGCGAGACTTCAAGGAGACAGAGACAAAGAGGCAACCGTCGGGACAAAGACAGGATGAAAATGGTTCGCCTATGGTGGCTCCGAACCAGTCACGTTAATGAGATTAATCAGTGGGAACCAATTTACCATGAAGTACTTTTATTTGAAACGTTATGATTATATACAATAATGCAACTTTGTTGGTCGGTGTTAGATCTGTGTAACTATTATTGAGCTATTTCTACTAAATCTCTACAAATCAAACAAGAAATCGACCCCAAACAAGATCAAACTTGCATTAAAACTAAACACAGTCGACAGTAAACATTTCTCAAACTAGTTTATGTTATAATATATAATATCTCTCACGCAATAATCTCATACATAAAATTAGTCTTAATGCAAACACACCAACCTGAACATTCCTAGACCACCTGAAAACCTCCAAGCATAGTTAATTCATCGCGCCGGAAGCGTCCCAAGAAAAAAAAACTGGTCTCGTATCCGTCGGAGGGGTGAAGCAGGCAACGAATCGCGCGGAAGGAACAGTGAACGCTGTTTATAAGTAGGTGAGCAACTCGCCGGACCAGTCCGCGATAAACTGTTATATGCACTGGCATCGTGCCATCCGCTCGGAAACCCATTTCTAGTGGAGAGGCTGAAAGGCGCGTTGCTCGTGTTCCTCGCCGCAAAAGAAAAGGAAACGGACGACAGGCGGGGAAAAAAGAAAGGAAGGAAAGGAAAGGGAAAAAGAACCGGTAGAGCTTTCCGCAATCGCGACACAGAACCAGACTGTCGTTCGAGGAAACACGACCGCAGTAATTTGCTGGCTGGCGTTCCGGTGACTTGTCCGGGCTCGATGCCTTTTGCATTTATTACGTCGAGTCGCCGCGCTAACGGCCATTTAGCGATAATTAGTCAATGATCGGCCCCCGTTTTGGGCAGAGCGGTTCTCGCGCGGCGTCAATCGCTTCCTCGACGCGCTGACGAGCGGCGCGATTTCACGTCCGAGCTTGCGATCTAGTAACGAGCCACGCGACCGTGCTCCCGTCGCTCGCGCGGTTATTATTTCTGGATTCGGTAACTCCGTTATCTCTCGGGCAAACCGCGGCGCATACTTCGGGAGAAAATCGGTGATCCGTTTAATGCATTCACCCGGAGAGCTTATCCCGGAACAATTGCTTCTTGTATGCAAATGTCGCGCGAGGTAACGAGGCCAGTTAAGGCTCGGAAAAAAAACGTGTTTCCTAGTGTTACGCGAGCGATATTCAAATTTCGACGCTGAACAATCGGGCGCGATTTATTTGCGGTTTCCTCGGCGATTCGTGGAAATCGGGCTTGAAGAACCTCAGCTGCGGTTTCCTGTTGAGTGTAAAGTATTTTATTGTTGAATTATGCTCTCGATTTTAGGTGAAATTTATTTCCCCTCTGTACAGTCGGCGGGAAAAAAGATCGATCGATTTGAGCGCTGGGTGTTACCGAGGTTCTCTGTTTTGGGTGTTCGATTGAATTGAAAGTTGATCGAATTTGTGGTTTGGTAGATCGTATCGTTCCAATTTATATTCTGATATGGTTTTTGTAACTATTATTGTCAGTTGAAAGTTGTGGTTTAGTTAAATTTCTCTTTCATGCGTGAGAGACCGCGTTGGTGTTACGTGGAAAGAGAAATAACAATTATTTACCGATTTTTTCCAGAATTCTTTATCTTTTTTTTGTTGCTTCGAGAGACTGTATAAAGTAATACGAGGAAACAGAGAAATAGGGAGCATTCCAGTTCGCCAATAACCCGCAGGAATGTTTCCTTAGTAATCGCTAACGCATAAAATCTAGAATTACCTTAATACAGCGTTACCACCTACTAAAGCTGTATAATCCTAACAACTTTTTCTCCCCACTTCTTAATTTAACGGCTCGGAATCAGATAATGTCGAAACAAGGCAGGTTTCGCAGTACATAATGTTCCGTATTTGCATGAGTACCGTACCGTAATGATTTCTTCTGAAAGGAAATTAAACAACCACGAAAAAGGCAAAAGGAGTTTAACGACTTAGAACCAAAGCAACGAATAATAATATTTTATCGCGGGCGAGCAAATAACCGTACGCGTTGAACACTTTCATCACCTGTCTGCTGGCGGTCGTGCGTAAGTCACCGATGAATTTTTACTAATTACGCGTTGCGTGATCCTAACAGCTAACTAGCCGGACGATTATGCAACGTCGTCGTTACGCTTTTCCTATCGTTGCCAGGACACCGGCACGCATTTCGGTAAGCGACACTGGCGGAGATCGGTCCTGAGCGCCCGCACACGAAGAAATCAGAGAAATAATCGCCACGTGTACGCCGATTAGTCGCGCTTGCTGTAATTACTGCAATTGCCTCCGCGCCGATCGTCTAGTATTCATGGTATTTTGCGACCACGCTTTTTTGCCTATGAACGCAACAGGAGGAACTTTATTAAAGGGAAACCACTTCTGCGGTTAATTCGAAAAGATTTTGCGCCGATTACGCTCGTCCCATGAAACGATAAAAAAAATAGCTGCACGCGTTATATTTAAGCGAGCTACTTTTTGTGCAATAAAAACATAAACTTTTGTTGGACAAGGTAAAAAATACACAGCTAATTAGCTTATATGTTCGAGCGCTGGAATGCGGTAATTCATGGAAAAAGCAGTTTTGGGGAAGTTGAAAGAAACGAGAGTAAAATAAAATTTAACTCGCCGTGTTAGTGGTTCGAATTTGTTACGGTTAAAGCGGAGCTAGTCTGAATTTTGTTGTAGTTTGCCTTTCATTAATTTGTGAAAAGTCAACGAAATTATGTAAGTAAATAGGGAAAGTGAGCGTTTTTCCGAAATCGTTCGTACATTTGCGAATTCAACGGCGTGAAGGCGCGAGTCAAGAAAGAAATCCTGCGCGGGAGTACGAAACGCACGGGAAAAGGACGTTCATCGTCGGATCGATGAGATCTACGTAAAACCGTAATGATTTAATTCCTGGCACGACCCAGATATCGGACACGAGTCATCCTGCGCGACTGTATTGGTCATAACGGTGCAATCTCACACAGTACGCACACTATTTCTCTACCTTCCTGTCAGATGATCATTCGTATAGACCAATAAACGTTTTCAGTCTCTTCTGATCGTGTTCCCCGAGCCGATCAGAATATTTTACGAGACAGTCGGTCACAGTGAACATCCTCCTCAAGAATTTTCGATTCTATCGGACTGTCAATCGTGCAAACTGATTAGAAAAAAAAGTCAACGAAATCGTTATGCGTGAACCATGCATACGTAACGATTGAAAAGTAACTTTTCACACGACCAAAGGAAACGTCGCCTCGAAAGAAAGAGGGGAAAAAATTTGAACAGCCGCGGTCAGCTCGTGCGAAACGGGACACTAGTTACGTGACACACTAACGATAAGTAGCAAGTGAAACCAATTCCGCGTGAGTTACGACAGCCCCGCTTTGACATTTACTTTGACATTTATCAGAGTAGCCTCGTCCTCCGGAGAATCAAAGG